TCTGGACAGTTCTAAGATGGAAAAAAATGCGACTAGAGGTGAATAGAAAGATACGTGAATCAAACTATCGACGTACAGTCACGTCAAAATTGAACAGGAAACAAAAATCTGATAGACGCGTAAATTTGGCAGTGTGGTCAAAGGTTTAACTATTGAGCTACATCGGTTTCCTAAATTACGGATGACGTTTGTTAGCTTGAACTACAAGTGTTGTCGGTGCGATCTTTTTTCAGTGAAAGGCAGATCACACAATTCAATTGTTGGAGGTAGAACAAACCTAACCCCCAAAAACACGAACTTGAAGTCAGATTTAACTTGTCTGATGTACTTCATGAGGTATGGATTTCATACTACCTTACGTATCCTTTTCTGGCTTTTACGCGACACAAGGTCACAAATATGCAACAACTGAGCTGTATTTTACTAGTCGTCTCGGATCAGAAAGAGAGCTGTCAGACTGACGCCGGAGTTCATTCAGGATAACGAACACCAGCCGGGCTTTGACGATATACAGGGAGACCTCCTTTCCGACACCCCCGCTAACCGTGGTACAATTGTAGATAAGTAAACTTTTCGACTGAACCCCAAATACCACAAACTTGGACCCAGTCAAACAGACGCTTCAGTCTCGTTGACCAAAGCAACACCAGTACCTATGCGACCAAAGACCGACAATTCAGGATCATAAGAGGACCTCATAAGGAACCGTGTATCAAAGGCGGACGGGGATATCAGTCGGATAACAATGCTGGAATTTTAAACATGTGACTCCAGTGGGCATCACACATCAATGGTGATGGCTTCGAAGGTACAGGATAAACCAGAACTACCACTGGCCTACAGACTTAGTGTTATTAGATTTGTGAACTCAAATAATAAAGCAAACAGAAGTCCATAGTTCATAGCGTTGATGGCGGTTCAATCGTTGGCTAGATACTATCAGAATGAATCGGAGTAGGAGAGTGACTAAGAAATCTTCACTCTGAGGTTATAATCAAAGGTCTGACATGCAAAACAACATGAAGAACCACGAAATTCGTGACTCACTGGGGGTCAGTATGTCGACCTGCACGCTCATCGGATAGAACCTAACCATCAAGACGACCAAATGCACTCTGTCGTTTGTCACACTTATATCCATTGGCCTGTTCAGCAAGAATCATTCTGAAAGTGTGATCGTCAACTTCGACGAAGTAAGTTCTCCAGAAGCGCAAGTCAACACAACACGAGCAGCCTCAAGGCAACCGAACGACACAGTACTAATGATGAGGTTCACCAGAATACCTGCGGGACACGTAGAAGACCTCATCAACTAAAAAGAATTGCCTGCTACATCTGCTTGAACTCGTTTGCATTGTTTGCCTAGCATACTTTCTTCATATATTCAAGGTTGAGTTGAAAGTCACGGTTTGGTGTTTAATGTATAATCTGCCATATTAGGCTGTTTCGCGAATTGTAACTGAATTTCAAAGGACACCTCTAATTGATAATGACGACCAACGTGGCCAAAAAACGAAGTAAAGGGTGCTCGTGTTGTGAGTCTATTCCCAAAAATAACTGACAGTTAACCAATACTTATTTCTCCCATCCCAATTTCTTCTGTTCTGTATTGAGTATGATGCATACGCAAGTATGTAACCCGCTAAAGATTGACAACAAACCCCCAATTATTTCGAAGTCGGTTTGGTGAAATCCGTCCTTGCAATGCCAACGCACGGCGATCACCAGGTAAACTGTTGGACTTCTGAACACCAGAAACTAACAGTGTGGCAGTTAAGCACCAACGTGAACCACTGATGTACTGCTGTCTATAATGATGATGATGATGAGAAACTAACACCAGAAGGATGCTTACGAAAGCTTCAGATAATTCTTTTTTCAGGAATATGACTGACGTGAGCATAAGTGGACAAGGAATGGCATATTTGAATTCACTTTATCATACGAAATAAAGCTCACAACTTTGGGAATCAATATTTAATAAATCGTCACTCACTTTTCCAGACATTCACAAGACCTGCGTCGAAGTTGAGAAACAGCATTCCTTGCGAGGGTCGAAAGGATTTCGGTTCCACAACTTCTACGGTCACATGAGCCACAACCGACGTGGCCCCAATGTTGACAGTGCAACAACCGCTGTCATCATCAGTGCTAATCCGAGGAAAACGAAATATTACCTCACGATATTCATTCAGTGAACGTCCATCCAAACGGTAGCCCGATAACAATAGTTTCTCTAAAGTGACAGCTTCTGCATTCGACATCCCAAGGAAAATTAGTGAAACTGTAAAGAGTTTCCTCGTGTTAGCTTGATTTTGTACATAAAAAAAATATGTCCATTTCGTTGTAAACGGATGGAATATATTTTTAGACATTCCGGATTATCGCTTACATGAATTAACCGAACTTGCATGCATATCTGCGATAACGGTAGTTCTGAGTGGTTGCGGCTACTCGCTGGAGTGATGGTCCAATGAGCCAACTTTACTTGACAGCAATCTAAGGGCTATTCATCAGTATGTGGAAGTTGATGATCAATGCCTCACACGAGTGGCATATGCTACTCAAGGGTGGCAGCATTTTTATTGCCATGTAGCTTAAATCAGTCTGACTAATCACATTATGAAAAATCGGAATAACGATTAGTGGCGTAATCGAGAATCATAATGAATAAATTAGGAATCATTCGAAGGAAATATGTACGACTAAGGTAGAGGACTCACAACTGTACTACATACTGAATAAATAAGCAGGTCTTAAACATTTGCTCGACTATACAGTTATAGTCTATGAAGCTAAAGCGAGGTTGTCGGCCATTTTCGATACTGGGAGTGGCAAACATTCGATTACTTGAAGCCAACTATGGTGTTGACTGAGGTAGCTAATACGTTCACCGTAAACGCATGGGGGTCAACGTCCCACTGACGACTTAGAAAACGGTACGCACTGCTGATGGGTTTCTATCAAAATGAAACCCGAACCGAACAACAGACGATTAATCCGACTAACAGTAGGTAACGAAATTTACCCCACCATCCTTGCCACCATAAATGAACCACTACAGCACGAGAGGGTTATCCAAGAAAATAAATTACTGTGGGCTACGACCCATTTTGTGAGTACAAATGGAAAGTGCATTATATCAGCACATCCATTAGATCTTATACCTGTCTAAAAGTGATTTGCGCTCATTTACGAAAAAGAGAAGAAAAATTTTTGGAAGCGACGTAGAGATGTAAGAATTGACAGTTTTAACAGTAATATGAGAACAACAAGTTAAGCCTGCGCTAGCAGCATATCAAACGTAACACACAAGCGAGCACGGTGAACGGACTGCGGTGGTGGTGGTCGAATAAGATATTACAAGAATACAGCGAATAAACCAGGATGCACGAGTGTATACAATCTATGCAATGGGTTATGAAAAATAGTCCGAACACATAAGTAAAACCTGCTGTATCGTGTTTCGGTAAAAGGGATTAGAATAAACATCAGGTTTCACTAAAAAAAAAACAAATGGGATGCATACAATTCATTCCCTGTGCAGTCAGTCGTACAGGTCTACACTCTCCCGCACTTTGCAATCAAAAATGTTTTTTGGTACAGCGTTAATTCTAAGGACGAACAAATTACGCAATAGTGCACATCATCTTGGAATGCAAGCATATTTCGTGCAACTGATACGTGACAAGGCCAAAAAAACCTGGCTGTTTTGACACTTATGACAAATACCTCAACCAATTGTGAGTAATTACCTAAGTAAATGTGCAGTATTTAGCCCGGTAATGAAACACCTAAAATGAGTCGGTTTGTCATAATTTCTTCTCGCCCCGGGTTAACGATTCACTGTAACCTCTCCTTGAATACTATAAGCTTCCAATTTGCGTCTGACGGGTCATCTGGGACACAGTCGAAAATTTCGGTGGAATCGAAGATAGTATTTAGGAGGCCACTGTCGTTCGTCTCCGCCAGACTGTTCATGAAGATAAGCATATTTGTTATTTGGTTAGGAAAGAAGCCATGCTAGGTAGAGGAAAAGATTGATAGACAAGAAGTGCCTGAGGAGGGCGTGCCTTAATAAGTGCTTCCTTATCTTGCGTGGGATGTTGGTGAGGTTGATTTACCAATAACTAACCGGGGAACGCCAAACACCTGCTTTCAAGATGAGCGTGACTATGGCTCCTTTCCATTGCACTAGGGAGAATGCCAGTCTACAGTATCTGTTGAGGCAGCTTGTAAAAGAGTTATGCCAGATCAACAGCTGCTTCTTTAACAATCCCGGGGTGAATCTTGTCAGAACCCATCGCACTGTATGATTAGCTTTGTACAGTAAGTCTTCAACAACTCGTACAGCAAACTCGACGGTAAGTAGTTGATGAAAGCTTTGCTCTGATAGAATATGGTGTCCGTTCGGCGGTGCAACTTTGTAAAATGTCAATTAATACTCCCAAATAACTCGGCCACAACTGGAGTGTCAGAAGAAGTCTGTCAGTTGCTGCATATGTCTAAATAAGAAGTTTTTGTCCGCGCAACCTTTTGGAACGATCTACTTTTGTACGAGTTTAGTGTTTTCGCATATTTCCCCCCTAGATCTATTTCGAACAGTGTAGGAAGCGCTTACAGAGACGAACATAATTGGAAAAACTTCAAAGTGGAAGATTCCACAAATTCTCCCTGAAAGATTCAAGGTTATATGTGTCTTTTTAAACCACGGCAGCTTAATTTGTAGACAAACTCAAATTGTCTACCACTGTGGTTCTTAGATCTCTCTCATGGTGAGACCGGTAGCTTTGTGTCACCATATTAATAATCTGTACAATTTTGATGGTGAACATGCATGATCTTACAGTTGTTGACAGCTAACAGCAAGTTGTTTTCTACGGGCCATTGGTTTACACAGTACAGATCGTTTTGTATAGTCACCACATCTTCCGGGCACTCTATAACTCATCAGAGTTTGACTATACGGGCTAACTCGCAACCGAGAAGAATGAATAACAAGGGTCTGAAGATTGATATTTGTGAAACGCTACTGACAGCAAGTACTAACCGGACCCAACATTGCTTAATTTCAATCATCGGACGAAAACTGGTGCTCCACAGTAGTGTGGCGATCATTATTAATAAAGTTAGTAACTATGTGTCTAGTACAAGGCAAACATATTCATTTTCCAGTACGATTTTTTGACTACGCTCTGTTTGATGACTATCTAGATAAGCCTCATGAAAGTGAGGTTTATAGTTCATGGTACTGCAAGTGAATTGCCTCGGAACGTTAACCACATTTTGTTTCCCATTGTCACAAAAGCAAAACTGCATGGCACCGTAAAGTTCAACTCACAAATGATCCGTATACTATTGTGTACAGTCGAATTAACAACAAAATTATGGTGATGGAACTAGCACTAATGATTACACGTTGAAACTGCAAAATACCCTCAACAACAGTGGATCTAATATTCGAAATCCATACGATAATCGAGACAAAAGATTATCTACCAAACATTCACAGACGTCTTATTCACAAACAAAGCCGGTGTATGCAAGTGTTCACGTGCACTACCATTGTTCAGACATCTTAGGAATTCACCAGTGAAACGGACAAAGTGTGTGAATGGAGCCCAACTGTTTCAACTTAGCGTCATAGTTGCTCAGTTTGCCTAACGTTGCGTCCCCACTTTCTCCACTTTAGCGGTAACTAGTGCACATCACACAACCATACACAAAGTACTTAACGTGAAAGTCAAATCAGGCAATCAAATTGCGAACAAAATTGGTTTCTTCTTAAGGCCAGTTCAGAAGGGTTGACTAACGGAACAATCCTATAGTGCCCGAAGATATGAGAATGGGAATCGAAAGAATTTGATTCTATACGGTACTGTGGAAAGTATATAAGGCAACGACATGCATTTATCATCAGAGAGTAAGTCAGACTGTAATCATCTGTTGTCCGTTACACGGTTCCAAGATGCATTGTATTTTTCGTCACGTATCGTGTGCACTGTTGGGTAACTGCTACTTGAGCATCATGAGGGAAGCTCACTGGAAAGGCGAACAACAGTACACCACGCGAGACACGTCTCGTTCGCCAACAGTTACAGTAGCAATCATCACATATCACTAACATTGGGGATCAGAAGTCCTCTGTGATGTACCATTGTTCAACATTTCACTGACCTCATGTGCGTCTAGTTCATTTAGTTACAACAGCCCTTTGCCTCATCTTCACTCCTTGTGGTTCTATCACGATCGGCCGACAGACAAACGTAATCACTTGACTGAAATCTGTATGGTGTGTGAACTTTCGACAACTTGCAGCAATGCGTCGCGTTATTGTGGAAACCCAATCAGCCTAGCGAGCACAATAAGCGTTTCGATGTCCTGACTCACATGAATGCCGTTGTATCGCGAACAGATGTGTACGAAGGTCGATGAGGTGGCAAATACTCCGTAGTAAAAGCGAGCGTGAGGAGCACTTGATGTGTTTGCGGAGTATGTACGAGATGCCTGCCTCGTGAACCATATATTCGATCAGTTGTAAGTTCAAAGCCACCGAACTCGATCTTACCGGAATCGTGCTGAGATGGCTCCTCATATCATCATAGTCGGCCCGGTGGAAGTTGCGAGTTAGTTGCTTCTGGTCAGGCTTCTGTATCCAATAACAAAGGAAAGTGAAAAACCGGACTAGATGATCACTATGTCCAAGTAGAAATAAAGTCGTTAACTGATCCATGTGATGACCCCCGTTAAGGATTACGAGGTCCAATGAAGAAGCTGATCGTCCTGGACGGTGTCTTGTAGGTGTGTGGATGTGCAGAGTTCAACTTTTCTGGCGTACTATCGAGGAAATATCTGTATGAAAGTTATCACTAGAAACCTGTCTCAGACTAGTCCAAGTCGCCTTCAGAGCGTCGAAACCATCCATGACAAGTAAATGGGAAAAGTGCTAAAGTGAAGTAAAAGTATCTAGACGAGACCAAAAAGTAAGTAAGAACACCTTCAAGTAATATTTATGCGAAGCTTGGTGATACTTTGCGGGTTGGGTGGATCAATTACGCCTACGAATGGGGTTTTAATAGAACATTCGACGCACAGTCGACAGCTCTATGGACATCTCGTGTACTGGCTATGGAAGACGCGTTAAAGTACACTTCAGTGTTATACAGAGTCCACAGTACATAGTAATATTTTGTAATTCATTTGTGAAAGTTTTCGTGTATACCGTTTCGTTAACTTTATTTGCACACTTGTTTGGAAGCATCACCACTTTTTGAATTTGATCGGCAACACAAATAAATAGGAGTTATCGCGCACCGTCTCTGTCTTCTTCAAATGTGCGGATTTTTGAGCTGGTGAAGTAATTGCACGGTGAAACGTTTTAGCTCTGCGTATCGGCTGAGTTATCGACGTTCAACGTTCGTCATTCTACGCCGTGTGTAGAATTATCTATCGGTCATCTTCCGAACCTGCTGTCTGACGCTGTCTTTCTCCTGTGTGGAGGCCAATTCAATTCAGCGGACCGTGACTTGTTAATGAGTCATTCCTATTTTACCGGTACGTCTTCCGTTTTATTTGTACGCATACCTTTAGTGCCTATCTGTTACCGTTACAACCCTTTCTTGGTGTTACAACATTTCGGTGATTTTTATCATTTGATTCATTAGGACACTACAGTTACTACCTAGATCAGATGCACCATGTTGTTCACCGGAGCTTTCTCATAGGTATTTTGCGGTTCCAGAAGCCTCCGACTTGTTATTAATTCACTCCTGGGTTGCAAGGAACGAGAAATTTGGTCAGGTACAACATTGAGGACAGTTATGGTTTTCGCATGGAGTGGACTTGAAACTAATTCCAAAAGGAAAACGGTCCTTTTTGCGCGAATCCTTCATTTTTAAGCATTTTTCGAGAGGTTGAAACAGAAGTTTTAGGCAAAAGACTGGAGTTTATCAATTGCAATTAACATGCGTTGACAACAGAAATGGAATACATCGAGCAGTTGGTGAGAAAACCAAGTTTGCTAACAGAAGCATTTCAACAGTTCTCGCGGAAACAATCGACCATTGGCGTGAGCCCAATACCTCAATCCTTGTAAGTGCGTTCATTGCAATTTTCGAGATAAAGTA